ACATACCAGCACATGTGTAAACAGCACACACATATTAAAACACATGTGTTTGTGTGTGTGTGTGTGTGTGTCTTCGTACGTGTGTAATTTATATACAGGACGCTCGTTTGCAGATAAGGCAAAAAAATTGAATGAAGGCATATGTTACCGTTTAGCGCATTTACAAACAATTTCCGCTGCTAGATGGCTTGCCACTTCATATATTAATAACTCCCAGAGGGAAGTTAAAACTTAGTGAAATTTTTGATAGATGAAAAATTCACATAAAATTAACACACGCGACGGTAAACTGTAAATTACCTATTTATAGATATCTAACTGAAAACTCAATAATGTCTGATACATTTTAAAATTTCTATACAGATAACTATATATGTATCTATTTATGTATGTATCTATCTATTTATGTATCTATATTTGAAATTATTTGTGTATCTATCTATCTATCGATGCATTCCTCCATGTATAAGTTCTTATGCGTACCTACATGAGTATATTTATGGTTATGTTGTTTACATGGACACGAACATGCATATGCTAATGCATACAATCACAATACAGGTTCGTATATGTATGTATGTGTGTGTGTGTGTGTGTGTGTGTGTGTGTGTGTGTGTGTGTGTGTGTGTGTGTCTGTATATGTGTACTGTTGTGTAGAAATGTGCGTGTTCTCATTCACACTGATATAAACACTTGCATACTTAGATTTACACAGAGACACACCTTTTTACAAAAAAAACACACGCAATTTCAAACATGGAGAATATACAAGAAATTTATATTCAGGATCTATATATTCAGGATTTTTATATTCAGGATCTATATATTCAGGATTTTTATATTCAGGATTTTTATATTCAGGATTTTAATGTATACAACTTGTTTTTGTGAAAGCTTAAAGCGTCAATCTGCAACTTAACTAGAGTAAATTTGTTTTGACATTAAGCAATCCCAGCAAACAAGATGAACTAAAAAAGAAAAAACTAATTAGACGAATTTATGCCAGTAAATGATCATACAACACCCAGCCATTTAATCACCTTAAATATATGCACCATTGTGGAGAGATTTATTTTATCTTGAAAATTTTTGAAAATAATTTACTAAGTATGTTTAATATTTTCTTATTTTTTTTTTTTTTTTTTTTGTGTGTTGACTTTTTCATCTGTCTGCCAATTGCCTAACTTTATAACATTTCTTTTTCTCTTCCTGATTGGGTAAGTGGTCCGTTGGGCCCTCTGGTCAGTTGCGTTAATTAAATAAATAAATAAATGATTTGACGTGCATTGAGTGGTATAGACCAGTTTGCATGTGAATTAATTCATTTTTCTTTTGGATATTTCTAGTTAAATTTAAATGTTTGAAGTAGAATAAAAAATGTCTTAACAATTATGTTCACCTCGTGTCTTGACATATAAATGCCTTGTCATACTAACGTCTTGACGATGCAGATACAAACAGATTATTAATGTACCGGCCGGCTCATTAATTTCTGATGAAATAACAACTGCAGAAATGATGCAGACGTAAATAATTCACACGTTTGTGAGGATGGATTAATTCGACCGCAAACATGTAGTGTGGTGACGAATCGATCAAAAACGCTTCTGTGGTGCTACGCAACTCTTATTGAGATGCAGTGGTGGATTTATGGGGAAGCAGGGGGTACACTGCCTCCCCCCGTAATAAGCAGTTTTTGACTAAAAGTCAGAATCGACCAAAAAGTGAACGTGATAAGCGATAAAAAGGTCGTCAGCCACACCACCACAGCCCCCTTCCGTGAAAATTTGAACAATTTCAAATTTTTGGCCTCACCCATCAGAGTTGTTTAAATCCGCCACTGCCAGAGTTGAGGTGTACTGTACATAAAAGCTACCAACGTGCATATGAATCCGGAAATGGTGTATTGTATCTCCATAAATAAAATACTTTCGTTTTTGGGTGAATTCAATTTAAATTACTCTGGAATTTTGATAAACTATAGAATACAATGATTGCAACCCAATAAAAAATTCATTTACTATTTAATTACTTGATTAATTGATTTAGAAAAAAAGTTGAAACACTAGTTTTAACTAAACATATATAAATTGTTTACGCAGATAATTTTATAATGTTTTTTCAAACAGTTTTGAAACACTCATTTACATTTTAAAAAAAAAATTTAATTTACAATAGTATATTTAAAAAATACTATTTCAAATGCTCAAAAAACAAAATAATTTTTATGAAGATGAAAAATAAAGATGTTTTTATTTTTACAAAAGATTTTGTTTTCTGTTTATTTTTTCTTCTCATTTTTGTAGAGCCATTATTTATTTTTCACATTTACGTCATTCTTCATTACTCTCCTCGTGTATTTATCAATTTATTGCCATGTTTTGTTTTTGAAAAGGGACGTGTAAGCTTCAGCTTATGGCAAAATTTATCTCCATTTTTTGGTTTGAAATGTCATAAAGCTTAGTTGTGCCGAGCGGAACATGAGCTTGAAAACGTTTGTACATAAACTACACATCTCTATAAACACATACAATAAAAATCGATACACGTACACACTCAATTTATACAAATAAATACATCCACAACTCACATACACATTTAGACACACACATTTATACGGCACACACACACAAACATTTACAATGTGCAGATAAATAATTGTACACACGGTCTGAAAATAACATCTACCGCACCAATACACACACAGGTCACAAAAAATTATAATTTCAAAACGATGTTAATTGTAAATTTCTTCCGAAATGTGTTAATTTAACCAATCATTGAATGATTCATCAATATCATATTGCTTCAATTGAGAAATTTTTAAGTAGGAAACTTGTTACACGTTTCAAATAATTCGTAAAAAGCTCACTATATAATAGTTTAATGCATTCGAAAGTTCCTTACACAAACAATTCTGAATAAGTTTTAAATTAATTTTAGCATCAAAAAAGGCTAAAAGAACAAACGCACACACACACACAAACACAAACACACACAAACACACACATTGCAAACCTCATATATCTCCATGCAACAGGTTAAATGTTTGGACGAGATACAAATAAGATGAACGGGTGTGTGCGTGTGTCTGCGTTTAAATTTGCCTGCCTGTTTGTACATGTGTGTAGACGGCGTACCCTGTTGTTGCACGTCAGTGTATATTTGTTTCTTGCAAGTTTGTTGTGGAAAATAAATTTTATAATTTAAATACATTTAAATACAATGTTTATATTTTCACACACAGTCAAAACAAAAATTCACAAATATAGACACATAAAATATACTGATAGATATGTGTTTTTTTTGTTGATGTGCGCGTGTGTGCGTGCTGTGAGTGAAAACATATGGGAACTTTTCTGCACACGTACCTACAACAATGTGCGTGCAAATGCTTTTTTAACATGCGATCCTTATTGAGGCAAACTCAATTTAGATGAATCTATTTGGAAATCTATCGTTCAGGAAAATTTAATGAAGAGGAAGAACATGAAGATGATGACGAAGATGATGTAGAAGACAATAAAGAGGATGATGAAGATGGTGCAGAAGATGATGATCACGGTGATGTAGAAGATGATGAAGATGATGCTAACGTTCAGGATGATGTAAGAAGAATTTTTAAAAAGTCGTTGTCGGTATATAATTTTTTATTATTTGATAATTTTTAACATACATAAACTTTACATAATTATTTTAAATCAATAATTTAGTAAAACTATCGTAAAGTTAAACTTCGCATTTCAGGAAAAATAAATAAAAAAGTTAGAAACAAAAGTTAATAGAAAATCGATAAAATAAGAACGTAAAAGGAACAAAAAATTGGAGAACCAGAACAAAAACAAACTCTACAAACTCTAATGTACAAATAAATAGAGGCAAAACCAAAGAAACTTATGAAAACAAATAAAAATGAAAAATAATAATGTAAAAAAAACTGATTTGAAAAAGAATTAGCATGGGAATAATGAATTGTGCATGGATCAAACGTTGTATGTAAGCATTGAAATGCATGTGCATCTTAAAATCACACGTACACAATTATACACGCACACGCACGTGTTGCTATACAACTTAAATAATGTACAGGCTGCGTACAATAAGCAAGATTATTTATAACGCAAGTATGTATATTTATTTGAACAACGTCATGTTTATTTAGCATGTGTAAAAGTAAAACACATACAAACGACATATAAAAGGTTTTTTAAAATTATTATATTTCTTATTTTAAATTCGAAAAATGTTAACTCATTAAAAACGTTTAATTTTTTTCTCTCTTGATTCATTTTTTCCGAACTTTTAGACCTTGATCTCTTCCTAGCTCTGTTCGACCAGAGTGATGAAGGTTGTGGTGGTTCGATTGACTTCTGTTGGTTCATTGGAACTGTCATATTACTATATGTTTTCGTTATGTTATTATTTTGCGTTTGTAGTTTCTGTTCCATTTGTTGATGTTGTCGAGTGTGATTTTTAAGATTGATGATCAAACGAGCATATGAAGTGTTGGCAATTTGACCTGGAGGTAGCTTTGATGTCACTGAATCCAAGAAATCTTTAGTTTATTGGCGTGTCTACCTGTTGTTGTGATGGCTCACAAGGTGGCGAGATTTGTTCTTTTGCTTGGGGTACATACTGCTTGCTTTTAATAGCGTTGAGCATGTGTTTGTAATATTTATTGAGTTCGTTGCTTGGATCCAGAAAATCAAACTTTGAATTATTCTTTTGTTTAGTTCGCATCAGAATTTCCATTTGGTTTCCTTGCTGGCCAATAAATAAAGCCGTTTTTTCGATAATGATGTGAGTTTTCATGCTGCGTGGGAGAGGTATACCATCAGGGAGACAGTATAGGACGGATGGGCAATGTAAGGATCCGTTATTTCCGTTTCTGATTCACTCAATTTTTCATCATTTGTTTGTTTTTCATTACTTCTCTGCTGTTCACTTGTGCTTTCGCCGTAATCATATGAGACTGCAGTGCACAAACCGTAAATTCTTTCATTTAATCTTTCCGCATCGAGTTCGGTGAGATGACCACGTCTCTCGTATCTGTCAATCAGAATGCTCTCATCTCCCATCCAGGAAATCAAATGGCGATTTTCATCAATGTAAACTGCTTTCTCGTCGTCTCGGAAAATATTGCACTGGTAGCCAACAACGCACAAATCATCAAAATCATCTTTCACTGGTGCGTTTTTGAACAAATTCTTGTTTCGTCTCGGCATTTTTAGACTTGGATTTTAGTAAAAGTATCGATACCCAAAATGACACGAATGAAAACAACGTTTTATTTTTTCACGAAAGAATTGTTAGTAATTAAAAAGCAGGGCAACGAAGAACAAAAATTATAAAATCGTCGTCCATTCTTCAATTTGGCATGTATGACCCGTTAACAACGTCGGTTATGGTGATGTTAATTATATCTGTAATTTGGTCAGTGTCGTTATGGTGTTGACGATCTATGGTCAGATAATGAACGTCTCCACTTTTTTAATGATTCATTTTTTTTTTGAAAAATCATAAATCTCTATCGTATTCTAGCTCTGTTTGACCAGCCACGACTTGAAGGGGTCCATAACTTGGACCAAGATCTGGAACGTAGGATCTTCTTTTCAATTTTCTATTCGATCTTGATTGAGTTTTTGAAGATCTTCTCGATCTAGATGATTTTTTTCAATCTTTTTTTTACAAAAAATTTTAAAAATATGCCAAAAGTACAAGATTGATTAAAGAAATAAAATGAAAAATTACAATTTTTCGTTATCCATATAATCTGTTAATAGCGACGATTATGGCGATAATAATTACTTCTGTACCTTGATCTGTGTCGTTTTGGGGATGGCGATCTCTTGTCAGATGAAGAGCGTTTGAATTTTTTTCTTGATCCATTTTTTTCAGAACTTCTAGATCTGGATCTTTTTCTGGCTCTGTTCTGTGACTTGGACCTTAATCTAGAACTTGAGTTTCTTCTAGATTTTGTACACGACCTTGACCTATGACGAGACTTTCTTCTACATTTTTTATTTGATCTGGATCTTGAATAGGATTTTTTTTCAACCTTCTGCTTGATCTTGATCTTGATCTAGAAGATGAAGAATATCTTGACCTGGAAGGTGAAGTGTTTGTAGATGAGCTACTTGATCTCGATCTGGAAGGTGAACGTGGAGGTGGAACTTTTTTCATTTCTATTTTTGTTCCACATATTTTTGTGTTTTCAGGAACACTTTTGCTTGGAGGTGTAAGTAACACCAATTTTCGTCTTTCGTCACCATTCTTGTCATCATCAACCCACGAAGGAGGCTTAGTTAGATTGCTGGCTGATTTTATGGTGAAATTGTATTTTGCAATTTCGATTTTATTGTTTTCAGCAGTTTTTGTTTCCTGCATTTTATCAATAAACATTTTTTTCCTCGAAACATAGTAAGCGTGGTGGCGATGATGTGGCTGCAAAAAATCAAATTTTTTGTTCCTTCTCTTCACGACCTCCTCAAACTCTGGACCATTACGAGCGACGCAATCTGCCTGCCTGTCGATGTTGTCTTTCGTGTTTGGAGACGGAGAATTCATGCTTTTCCATCCGGTTGATGTCCTATGCATATTTGATTGTTGATGTTGTAGTAGTAGTATTAAAAATTGGCTGATTAATAATTTAATCCGATAGATTAAACGATAAACGTGAATGTGGACAGATTCGATTAAATCCATCATTAGCTCGGCTATTTATACGAAAATGTTGTTCTTAATGGATGGAAAATTCAACAGGTCATAAAAGCAAAGTTAATAATTATTATACAACCTCATTATTATTTGGCTAGATTATAACTTTGAACAAGTCTTTTTTGGCGTGTCTCTTAACTGCACTTTAGTAAATCAAACAAAGTGAATGAAAGTATTCATTTGCAACCAACCAATCAAAGATTATTAAGTCAATAAATTAATAAAGTTTGTAAAATTATTTGTACTGAGTGATTGAATAAAAAATACAGAACAAGTTATGTAAATTTTTTCGTAGTAATAAATCCATTCTCTGTAATCACATTTGACCAGCTTAATTAGATTGTAGAACTTGTGAAGTGTCAGTTAGAACAAAAGTGTGACACAAAATTTAAACAAAATGGTAACGTCATCACCATTCTCGTCTTCGTCATCATCATCGCTATCATCTTTCTCATCATCGGCAGCAGCACCATAGTCATGTGACTTGATATTCGAAAGAATTGACGCCATCGTCGTCGTTATCGACGTCATGTTGCTTGCGACTGAAAGTAATGATTTTGAAAAACCACAACCGCACACAAAAAAACAAAGAAAAAACACATAAGCAACAACAACAATAAAAACAACAGCTACAATGGTGACAATGACATAATAACAATAATCTGAAATAAAAATCTTAATAGATATAATAATAATAATAATAATAATAACAATTTTAACACTAATAACAGTAACGACAACAAAAACCTCAAATAATAATAATATAATAATTAAATAAATATTAACAACAATGCTATAAAATCCATGGCGTAATAATAGCGAGTCCGTGCCTAAGGAATCAGATACACATGTATCATGTTGAGACCAGGTGCATGCGTGGTCGGTGATGATGATGATGTTAAAGTGGTGATGATGGTTTAAAGATGATGATGTTAAATATGATGGTGATAATGATGATTTTAAAGATGATGATGATGATGATGATGATGTTAAATATGATGGTGATGATGATGTCAAAGATGGTGATGATGATGAAGATGTTGAAAATGATGACGACGATATGATAACGAAAGATGATGACAATATGATAACAACAAAGACTACTAAAAGGATGATGATGATGATGGCATGATTGAAAAAATTACGACGACGATGATGACGTCATGAAAATGATGACGCCACGCTGACGTTTAATAGCTGCGCCTTCGTAATTAAACGTCTGTATCTCCCGGAAACAACTTAAATGATACACAATAACTCCATTAAGAAAAACAAGCACTGATACATATGTTACGTACGTATGCAAGCACACACACACAAACACATATATACACAAGTATTCACCATACAATTACGAATAAACATACAAATCTACAAATACTTACACATGTATTTACACATACGCTTACGAGCAAACACATAACGTTTGCAAGCACACACAAGCATACATTGATAGGTACATATACACATTCATGAATACATATACACATAAGTTTTCATATTAAACGACAAACACACATTTCCTGCTACATACACGCACATACATTTTCCTTGATTATTACCCAAAACATTTAACAAAACAGTACTTAATGATACTCGAAGAATAAAATAATTCACATTTACATCTACAAGCACAAACTTGCACATAAAAACATGTATATGATTACATAGAGAGTGGTTGAAGAAACCAAACAAAAATATTATCACAAACACACACGCAAATATTAACGTTGATAGTAATTCGACTCACACCAACATAATTACATGCATTTGAAGCCATTCAAACACAAAAATAATGAAGAGGGCACCCGTACGCAATGCAAATGCACCTACAAACACATACACGCAAACACATACATGCATACACAGGCACGTGCACACACGCATACATACACCCACACGCTACTCGCATTTGTGCAAACACTCATTTAATAAGAGAAGGGTGAACGCATACGAAGCTCGCAAATTACAAATTGAAATAAGATTAAAAAACAAAATCTATGGGAAAAATATAATAAAAATTTATTGGATAATAATAGAAAAACAAAAAAAAGAATTCGCAATAAAAAATAAAATAACTAAAAATTAAACTCTCGAGAAAAAACATTTAAGAAAAAAAATAATCACATTTTAACAAGAGGAGACCCCAGGCACACCTAAATTAGGTTTGACATCTTGTGTGTTCTACTTAAAATACATGAATGTATGCATGCATGTTCGCATAAGCATGCGTGAATGTGTGTTTGTATTGATGGTTTGGTCGTATATGCATGTATGGATGCGTGTTTGTCTGCTTATGTATTCATGCATTAACCTAAGGTGTATGTACACAGTACAGTCGTACGTGCATTTTTACTTGGATGTACAAACGTGTGCAATAATAAGGAGAAACCTATTTACATAATGAAATTATTATCATGGATATTGTAACACCAGTTTTCATATTTTTTAAAAGCAATTCAAAATCGAAAGATTCTGTTAAATTGTTGAAACCTTTAATGTACATGTGTATGTGTGTGCTACTATGTGCGTGAAATTGATGCGTGGATTTACAAAAGATTGCGAGTTTACTTTTGCTAACGCACGTGCGCTCATGTGGGTACGCATTTTTTTTCAGGTAGGTACGTTTAGATACACACAACACATATGTCGCATTGTACGCATGGCTTGAACAAAAATCTTCCTTGGACACTAAACAACGTATTTTTTTTTCAACTTTTTGTCCTAGCTAATTCAACAGGAAATAAATAAATTTTGTGTAATCATCTTTACAACTGTATGCGCAAATTTACAATATATATGTATATATATATATATATATGTATATATATATATATATATATATATATATATATATATATATATATGTGTGTGTGTGTGTGTGTGTGTGTGTGTGTGTGTGTGTGTGTGTGTGTGTGTGTGTGTACATAGAAATGTAACTATGAATTCTTTAAAGTTCTATTTTCATTTTCCATCTGCAACTAAATTAAAGTTGAATAATTTATAAGGAGGATGGTGATGCTTGAGAGCGAGGAGAGCATTTGAAGCTTCACATGCTCATCACGGATCCAACCCCTTGTTTAATCGTTTTTTGGTGGAATTACCATTTGGTGGATTTAACATTTGGTGGATTTAACATTTGGTGGATTTAACATTTGGTGGATTTAACATTTGGTGGATTTAACATTTGGTGGATTTAACATTTGGTGGATTTAACATTTGGTTAAATTCAACATATTATGAAATTTTTTATAACTGTGTTATTGAATTTATCGAATTCATTATATTTTTTTTACTATTTCTGATTCTTTTTAATCGTTATAGAATGTTTCACTGTAAATTTATTTGAAACAACATGGTGAAGATGAATGAATTGACTTTATCTTGTTTTCAATGTGTTGAATTAAAATGCAATCAAATGCTAAACTAAATTAAATAAATGCCTCTTGTACAGTGGAAAGACAGTATTGACATTAATGTTGAAGCTAGTGAGTAGAAAATGGCTCTGCCATAATTCCATTACCATCGTCATCATTTTAGTTGTCTCTGGTTTTACCATCATTTCTTATGTTTGTCAGCAATTTTTGTCCAGATTTTGAACTACTAACTTTTCTCTTCAAACCATCATCCTCATCATCATCTTTGTCATCATGATTGCCATCATCGTCATTCTAATCACCATCGTCACCATCAACATCATCACCATCGTCATCATCATCATTTTCATCAACATCATCATCATCCTCACCATCATCATCATCATCGTAGTCGTCATTTTCCTCATCATCGTCATCATCACCACCACTCAGCCATCAATGCGTACATACGATCAGTTAATGAAGGTCTGGCCAGCCGGCAACCAACCGGCGATCCAATTAATTGACTAAAATGTTAATTTCATTATCATCATCTACATCTCATCGTCGTCATTATCTCTGTTTTGATCGTCACCATGGTACTTGTAATACACTACCTCGCTGCCGTCACCGTCGTTTTAGTTACCATCCTCCTCTTTTGTTATCGTCATCCTTGTCATCATCATTAACCATTATCAACTTCATCATCATCATTGTCACCAACATTATCATCATCATTGTCGACAACATTATCATCATCATAATTACTATCTTCCGTTTCATCATCAACGTCATCGTGTGTTTATGAGTGTAATGTTGTGTACCTATAAGAAGTGACGAGAAAAAGTTTATATTTATCATTATTATTATTAAATTAACACAATCGAAGAGATTCCAACGAAAGGATATGCTTAGTTTATACAACATTTAAGTGTGAATGACGAGTTTTTTCGCGGTTACATTCGTACACCTTCGCTTATTTGTTTGTTGTCTCTTGGTCTATCTGCTTTGCACAGCACATAGATGTACAAATTTAAACATACATACATTTATACAGATTTATACGTGCAAATATACATGTATACTTTTAAACGTATCTACATATATATATATATATATATATATACATACATATATATATATATATATATATATATAGAAGTATGTACACAAACATGTACGTACATGCACGCATACATACAAACATATATCCATGTTTAGAAGCATATTGCTTGTATAGAGGAGAGGCATAAATCACATGGTCAGATGTATGTACGTACGTGCATGTTGCAATGTTTAAATGAATACAAATATATTTTTTAAATTGCAAGAGTAATAGAGAAAAAGTTGATACAAATTTATGTAAACAAAAAAATACCAGATCAAATTCCGAACAATATATTGTTTTGCGTTCATACAGATAAAAAATAAAACACTCTTCAAATTAATGGCATTTTTTTCCAAATTTAACTTAGATGCATCTAACGTATCTATTTATACCGACAAATGCATTAAAACAAGCAT